AAAAATGTATGGACAATTTGTAAAGGCTGAGATTTGACACGTGAATACAAACAGTTTGTAAATTCATATTTAATGTTTGAAAAATTAATAAAATTACCATTGAAGTTACATAAGCCAATACCATGTGATGATGATACCAGTGATGACACCGAAGAAGAGAACACTGAAAATCATATTGTCAACAACTTCTGGAACAATAAATATAGTATAAGTACAAGGTACCTATGTCAACAAAATGACTAAAAGAAGTGTTTCCAGCTATTTATACAACGTTAAGCATTGGACTAACTTTAACAGTATCAAGTTCATCTCCAGAACGAGCTTTCTCAAAATTAAAATTAATTAAACTAAATTAAGAAGTACAATAGCAGAAGAACGATTGGATTCTCTGATGTTAATATCATGTGAAAATGATATTAACATTGACTCTGACACATTTATTAATATTTTACATCATACAGTACAGTGCTAAAAAAAATATTATGTTAATCAAATGAGTTGGTAACAGGATGCAGTAAGCAATGAATTTATTATATTATATTAATTATATTTATTAATTAGTTATGATGTTATTTATGTAATATTATTTATGTTTCTATTAGTAATGCGAGTCTACATAATATGATTTTAATAAAAATATAAAATATGAATCAGTTTTATTATCAATATTCTTTTTTGTTGATCATTTATCATATAATTAATTTCTATGCTAATTAAAAATTAAATTTTATATATATTAAAATATTAAATAATGCGAAAATTCAGTAAATAATACAATTTATTTGTGAAAATAATATTTTGTGTTTAAAAAATCAGTATTGACTAGAGGTGTGTGTGTGTGTGGGGGGGGGGGCTCTGGGCCCCCCCGGCATAGGGTTTCGAACTCATACCAGGGTATAAATAAATAACAATGGCCATATCTAAAAAAAATTAATTCGGCGCTACTGAATATACCATTATATTAAATAAAAAGTTCAAGTTATGTTTATTTAATTATTTATACATTGTAATTTATTAAATATACCTATATTTTTTGTTAAAATTGAATCAAAAAGTATTGTAGAAATCCTCTGATATACAGGCCTATCAGAGGCGTATTTGAGGGGGAGGGGCGATGGGGGAAATCCCCCCCCTCCGATAATTTTTAGACCAAGTCAATTTTTATGTAAGTAATGGGTATTTTATTAAGAAACAAAAATTATGATTTATTTTATAGTATTACTACATTTGAAAACGTTTCAAATTTTACACTAATTTAAATAACGTAAAACGCTAAATTTTTCATAACGTTTTAATTGTCAATAATGGTAAATAAAAATTTTATTAAACGTTTAAATTTGTATAAAGTTTAAACGCTTAAATTGAATAACGTTTAAATTATTTATAGTGTTAAACGCTCAATTGCTTATAATGTTTATATGTCCCATAACAATAAATAATATATATTATTTTGATTGAAGACCATACTTAGTGAAAAATTAGATAAAACATAAGCGAAACTTTCAAAACAAAGATAGGTGTTAAAAAAGAACTACACAAAAGACTATTTTAAGTGGATCCGGCATTAGATTAAAAAAAAAAAAACTACAAATATTATTCACCTGATATAAATACAACCAGAAGTAAGTCTAAATACGCTCCTTAGGCCTATGACTGTACTACTGTCATACAGTTATGTTTTTATTACATTTTTTCTCAATCAATAATCATTGTAAAAGTATCGAAAATCATTTATAATTTATCATTCAGTTATAACGTTAAGTCACGTTTTATAATAAGACAGTTTACAGTTGGTAATAATATGGAAAATGACGTATTTATAAATAGGTTCCTAAATAAGACTGACAAATGACAAAAGTTAAATTAGTCGTCTGGACATTGGGGAATATAATTTAGAGCGATTTCACAATACGTAACGGTGACAATAATGTAAATAGTACAAACATTTAATGAATGTAAAAATAGAATATTGGATTGTCTTTCGTGATTGAATGAAAACACAAATAGGTACTCTATATACGAGAATAGAATACAGTAAATAACGAGAAACGTATGGGTAGCTGAAATCTATACATTATGTTTATTTATAAGTGTAAGATACTGTTCAATCATTTTTCTCTCAAAATACAAAATAAATCTTCATAAATTACAGAAACTTTTAGTTAATTAATTGATAAGATTTATTTTTAATTTTTATGCATATATAAAATGTTTTGATTATTTTGGCTCATGAGTCTGGATAGTCTGATTAAATTCTAATACTAAGATCTAATCTAATATATTTATGCGTTACATTTTCTTTTATAAGTATGTTATAATTTATACATATAACATCAATAATCTGTATATTTTAAATTTAAACACATTTCAAATAATTATACATCTCAAATGTAATAAAAATATTTTAAAAAATACCAAATTAATTAACATTTTTTAAATTTTAATTATGATAGTGAAGTGACCATATCGTTGAAAAACAATAAATATACAAAGTAGGTTAAGAAGTCTTACTTAGTTCTTAATTTTAGTGGGTTATTATTTATTATTACCTAGGTCGTTATTTCATCAACGTGTATCATAAATTAGATAATATATCACACCTAAATTACTAAATATGTAAGATGCATGTACAACATTATATTGATATTAAAAAGGTGTACATTACCATTTATTTTAGAATATACTATTCGTTTGATAATACTAATTACTTATTTAGGTACACGAGTACAATTTCTTTAAAAAATATAAGTAATTAAAACATAAAGTATCGTAAAGAAATTAAATTTTTTTATTTATTTTAGTAAAAATTTTGGTGTTATAGTTAGGTATTTACTATTTTTTTAATTAATTCGAACTTGTTTGGAAACTACACATTTACATTAACCAATTTACATTTTGTTATTTTCATAGTTGAAAATTCAAACTTAAAATTTGGTTTTACAAACGATCAAGAGCGTACCAAAGAGGGGGTTTGGGTCCGGACCCCCCATTGAAATTTTTACATACTTAACGGTTTAATAGTAAATAGTATAATAATAGTATATAGTGTATTTTAATTTCTCATTATTTTCAATATACAAAGTTTATAGATTATATAATATACCTATAATATATAAACCATATTATATATAATGTGTAGTGTATTAACGGTAATTTTTTGGTATTGAGTTAAACTATAATTATAATAAGAGAACAGATAAAATAAAAATTTTGGATCCACCCCATAAAAAATTCCTGGGTAAGTTCCTGCAAACGATTTTTAAACTATACGACGTCTTTATATTTTTCATATCTATATACAATACATATATATACTTTTTAAGTCTCAATAAAATTATTTATTTTGAATGAAATAGATATAACAAATTAATAAAAAAAATAAATTTGGTTCGATATTAGGTATGAGACTATTAGTTGAGGGATTTCATGATCAATACATATGGTAAAGATTTAATTATAACTAGGCGTTAATATTTTTTGGTTGCTAGCGTTCAATTTTAGCATTCAATTTTAGCATTAAAATTATACAAATAACTAAAACTTACATTGTTCATGATTTACAATTATTTTTATTACTGGAAAGTTGATATAAATTATTAAATTACGATAACTTGTTTTTAAATAATTTACTAAAAGTATATTTTAATTAATAACTTTTATAACATTTTTTCAGTAATAATATTGAAAACATCATGCATCGTTACAACATAATGATATTCTACCTACATTTAAACTATATTCATTACATATTATAAGGATATATACTTAATTTGCTAACTGTCGATAGGGTACTATTACCATTGATTATATAATAGATTATATACTATTATATAATCAATGCTACTATTTATTCATTCAACACCCTTCATTCAAAGCTAACTCAACTGTTAATTATATTTTTATCAACATTAAAAAAACATGATAACTGATTACTCTGTATAGACTTTTGTGTTTAAAATATGATCATGGTCAATGAACTGTTACTTGAACCTAACTGAGATTTTAACATATTCCATTTTCCATGTTCTCTTTCAACAGTTAAGCTATAATTTCGAAAAATAAAGGTAATAAAAAATTAAAAAAAAAAAAACTGAGATCATGTTTGGGTAATGAAAATAGGTTTGACTCTATTACTAACAACATTGTGTTGCCGTTTCGAATTATACGTGTGGAAAGCGAATGTCGAGAAGGCACAAGGGATAGGTACTGCATATTTGATAAATATATAGTCAATAAGCTATACCTAATTAACCAGATATTTGACAATTTCTAGAACTAAGAATTCTGTTTAAGTATCGCATTTGAGTATCATCAGTTGATAAAAAAAAATAAACACGAGTAAGTACGAGGTGGATAAAATAAATGCGTAAAAAGTAAACGAGTATAACAAATGAATTAATGTTTAAATGTTTACCTAAAACTTAAAGATCTAAAAAAATTATTAATTATTATTATTTAATTTAATTTTTTTTTTTAGTTTGTAAAAATCAGATGATAATTTTACACAATAATACATGTATTTAATGACTCATGGATGTATGATTCCTGTAATTAATAAGAACAACAACTTAATTATTTTTGTAAAATATTTAATGAACTTTTACTGAATAAATTATTCACATTTTCAACTAATTTATGAGAAATAATTAAAGGATTTACTATTTATCTTAGACTACTCTTACTTATTGATTGACATCATTCAATCATAATATAATTTAGTTGTATCATAAAAATATATATAATAAAAAATATAAATATATATTTTTTTTTTTTAAAGATGTGTACGATAATTGTACATTTTGATGATTATAATTACTGTATTTGGCTACACTGGAAATGCAGCTGTGAACGACCCGTTATGTTTTTGTTTCTCTATTTTTTTTATCATTTGCAGTCGGGCCGTGCGTCTCACGCAAGTGTGTAAGTGCGAGTTATTTTAATTTTTAATTTTTTGTTTTCATGTTTATTATTTATTTAATAATAACGCAATTGTTCTTTTAGTTCATTAAAAAAAATTTAAAATTTGATTTATAGCAAATTTGTTAACGTATCTGTTAATTATAATAAAATTTCATAAGCGTGTGTGGAAAGTATTAATGTTTTGATTCCTAAGACAATATTACCTACCTACCTACTGTCCAGTGATAGAAATGAATCAATTGCAAATTAGCGGATACATTTAAAAATACAAGGTAAGTTTGAATTTTGAATGTCTATTAGATTAATTTGTATGATCACGTCTATATCTTGTAATAAGTAGGCATACATAAATTATATTTACCAGTGTTTAAATTGGAAAAAAAATTAGTAGAGGAACACTGAAATATTTCAAAACATGAAGAATAGGTCTCTCTTATATTAAACACTGATTATTATTGAATAATATATTTAAGGAATATCAATTACCTTACCCCAATAGAAAGGTCTTGAAAATAAATAACCATAGAAATTTAAAAGAATTTGTTGAAATTATTATATATTAAAAAAATGTATTTCAAGTTAACGCTGTGTATATATTTTTATTGGTATACATTTGGTATTTTATAAATAATAAACTTGAGTTAGTGATTTAAACTGATTTTTTTATAGCCTGACTAATTATAATCAAATGTTTACTTAGAAGATTTTGTTGTCATCTTATTAAAATTAATCTAATTCTGTATAATGATAATTAGTAGGTATCCGTTATAACTATTACATTATTTAAATGTAGTACTTATTTGATTCTATAAATATATATATTTGTTGTGTCTTAATGTCTCGTGGCATAAAATGAAACAAAATCTTATCTTAGAATGTACCTTATTACTTAAATATAAATAATTTGAAGATTTCATCATATAGCTATTTGCCAGTATTTTCATTGTTAGAAAAACAGTTCATTAAGGTTCATCACATAACATGTTAGTTCAGTTAGACTATATCATCATTATACTTAGGTAAACATATTTTTCTCTAATTATTTTATGTTACCTTCTATTTAACTTGAAGTAGGTAGCTATTAGTCATTATATAAATGTATTATTGTATTACAATTTTGACTGTTACTTTGTTTTCATTGCATTTAGTTGACCTTATTAAAAATTATTATTGCATATAATGTTATGTACCTAATGAGTGTTTAATTTTCTTAAATTTAATGGAATTCAATGAAGTTTAGAAATAAATTCAAGGATAAAACTTATAGATCATCGGAACTAAGATATTAGGTAATTATTAGAAAATTAAATACATAACTTCAATTTATTATTATAATTCTAATAAGTATGAAAGATGTAGGTATATTGCTTAAAGGAGAAAGATAATCGAAAATGTTACTCAATAATAATGTATGTATTTATGTTTTTTTTTTCCAAAAAAATAAAATAAAATAATATTATAGTTTAAAAGCATTAAACAAATGAATAATATTCATAAATTGTCTTATAATATAAAATCTGAAACTAAACTTTTAGCTTACTTAAAGTCTTGTATTAAGAAATTTACTGTAAATATACAACAAATGTAAAACCAACAAATTCTGATTTAGATTTTTAGAGTTTTCTAAATAAATTTGAAATTAAGTATAGTTTGCTTTATATATATATATATTTATATAGTAGTATCATATAAAAAAAAACTATAGAAAAAAATATAAGACCATAGAATATAATATAAGCAACCATAAAACAGAATAAAAGATAATAAAAAATAAAAAATAAAAAATAGCAAATTAATTTTATTATTGACATCAATTTAATCTCACATTATAATAAAAATTGTTTTAGGGATTAGTTTATGGTATTCCCCTTCACATTAAAAAAACTATAGTTGTTTTATGCAAAAAAAAATTGGAAGGCTTGTTCCCCTGCACATCCCTTCCTAATTCGACCATTGCCTGTAACTGTTCTATATTGCAGAAACTTAATTACAGATGTTTTTTAGCCATATATTGCTATATTATTGAAAAGTTAAATGGATAGGTATTCCTTATAATATATTTTTTTGATTGTTCCTGACCTGAGCCTATCTAGGTATAGGTATGTTTTTATAAAATAACTGTATGATAAAAGCTTTATGAAAAAAATAGGCAAGTTCTAACAATTTTTCTTTTTCATAATGTAAAGTATCAAGATACTTGAAATTTTAACTTAATTTGAAAGTTGTTTTTAATTTACCTTACTTATAACTAGCTAAATGATTATTATAAAAGGGAAATTGCTCCTTACAACTCTCAAATAGTTATTTCAAACAAAATCAAGTATATAAAAAAATGCAATATAAAGCATTATAAAATATAATAAATTATGTCTTAACATGAAAGAGTTTATAATTATAATTCGTAGATTAAGGTTAATTATTTTTCCTATATCTCTGTTATAAAAAAAAAATTACTTTAAGATTGGTACTTGTTATATCAATGATATATAATCATTTTTAATTTTTAGATACATTATATTGCATAATTATTAGTTAGGATACATAAAATTAGAGTTCATAGTTAACATTTTAATAAATATATTTGTCGGCTAAAATAAATGGTGGATAAGAGAGCCACTTAGCCCTTCTTCCATTTCAAACAATGGTAGAAAAAATAGCTAGCTATATAATGAAAAGGACTAAACTTTAAACTAAATTTTTTTTTTTGTATTTTTCATATTAATGTGTAATTATTCAAAACTTTAGTTTCTGAATATATGTATTTATTTTATTATTATATTTATAAAATTTAAAAAGTAAACAATATTGGCTACATTATATTATTGTGGGATAAGTAAATCAAAATTTTCATATTAATGTTAGATTTATGTGATCTAGAATAATAAATGAAATGTATATTTTTCACTTCCAACTTTAGCTAGTCATACAAAACAAGATAGAAGTCAATTTAAATTTATTTATTTATCTTATAAATAATATTCATTGTGTGAAAAAGAAATTCAATTAAATTAATTACGAAAATATAATTTTTTTTAAATGTGTCTTACAATATTTGATAAATTGTATAATTAAGTTTATTAAATGTATTGTATCAATTTATCAATTTAAAATAACTAGTTGTGCAAGTTGAACTAAAAGCTTGGGGTTTCTAAAATCACATTATTTTGGTAGTGGTATGGAAAGCTTATGGTTTTCAACCACAACTACAAAAATATTCTATTCGATCTCATATTTGGAAATAAATCAATGAAATCATTGATCATTTTCTTTGTCTTCCTTAATAAAGTGGTTTTGGCTTTTAGTATTTTTATAACTTCCAATATATCTTAAAATAATGTAGCCTGCTTATTTTGCTAATACTAAATACCATGATACTTTTTGGTACTTCACGTTCATCTGTGCTCAATAATAAATAAAAACTTCTTTATATAAATATTATATGAGTGATATATACTTGTAAGTTAAGAATAAATAAAGAATGTGAAGTAATTTTTCTTAAAAGAATCTGAACAAATTTTTTAGTACAGTTTAAAGTCGTAAGAAATTGTGATTTGAGAGTGCTAAAATGATGGTTTGTGGTTTTTAACTCTATCTAGTTGTGCCAATGACAGTAATTATTTATATTTTTTGTTTTAAACTTGTATTATTTATTATTTTACAGAACTTAAGTACTTAAAATTAGATTTTATTTCAATAAAGATATATTTTTGGTCTGTTGATTAAATTGTATACAAAATCGGTAATCACAAAAAGTGAGATAAATATTGTTCTTTCGTAACTATTTATTTGTAAATTTATACACTTCTCTTGCTAATTTTCTTTTTTTTGGAGATTTGTTGTCTTGTTGTCTATGTTCGTAGTTCATACTGCAGTTTTATGTATAAATGATTATAACCATACATTCCTGAATTTTCGTGTTTTTATAAAAAAAAAAAAAATATTTAATGTCGGGTTTAAAGTACTATTTCAATAACATAAGTATTAAAATAATTTATGCTTAAGTTATTTTGATATGTATATAAATATTTCACAATATTTTCAGTCTATATTATAATTTCAACTTTACCTATCATACTAAATTAATAACATATATTCTTTTACTGTGGTAAGATTAAATTATTCAGTTTCGCATTCTCATTATATACATATCACATGATATAAACTATACACACCATGTTATTCGTGAGGTTTTCCGGTGCTTATACATACATACATATATATACGTATTTATCAATTATAGGTATAATATCGGACCGCCACTTGAAGTACTACCTCACGGTGTTCCCAAGTGGTTGGTCTATCACCGATATAAAAAAAAGTTATAATATCGGATATTGATGTTTTAATGTATTTGTTTAAGTAATTATTAGAAATATTGTTATTATGTAGTACTTATTTATAAGATTATTTATCAGTTATTTAATTTCTTTAATTTGTTGATATGGTAAATTAGATTAAATTCATATGAAATAAACAATTTTTGTTTATATATGCAATATATATATATATATATATATAAGTTTGTATTTAATTAATGAAACACATGTATACCATTTTTTCCAATATATGTTGTGTGATAATTTAAAATTCAAGTATACTTAACCATTAAAATATAATTTATCTTACTCTTAAATTTATAAGTATATTGAACTTTTTGTAATAAAATTAATATTTTATGGTGAAGATGAATTAAAATAATTATCTAATTATTCACTATAAATTAATTATTTATTCAAATTTAAATCTATTATAAAAATATTGGATTGAATTTTGTAAATACGTGAATAATAATGAATACAAATTATAATTTATGAATTAGTAATTATTCGCTCAATACAAATTATTTATTTACACATAAGCAGTGATTTGTTGGAGTTTTTAATTGTTGAACATGTATTATAAATTGGCGTTTAAAGTTTTAAGTTAAGTAATATGAATGAATGTAATAAAAATAAATAATATTGTTAGCTTTACATAATTAGCTTTTTATAAGAAATTGTTTATAAAAATAATTTAAAATGTTACATTATGAAATTTATTTTTGTAAATTTAGTTTTATATAACTACATATAATATTACTATTACATTTTTACTCATTGTGTATGGTACTTGTAAAATATTATAGTACCGTGTTAGTTTAGTGTTCAGTATTATAGTCATGGAAAAGATATGGGTTACTTAAATTTCATAGGGACCTTCATTCTATTCCCTAACGTAATTTGATCTGGTTTCAACATCACTGAATCGTTGTCTGCACGTTTAAAAGATAACGCACGTCTCGAGATTTTTCCACTTATTATTCTTATTATTATTTTAATATTGTTTTTACGACCCAGTAAAAACCGAGTGGGCGATATATTTTGTAACTGAATTCGTGTTTTAAAATATGTGTGTTGATACTTTAATACGGATATGTTTAGCATTTACTTATTTCCTATCAAATAATATATTGATTTTAATTATTATTTCACAAATGTTTTGAACCTCCATAGTAAAAACTTAAATATTAGTCAATAAAATAATACTAAACTAATAAACAACATCTAATTAATAAATGACCCGAGGAATCAATTGTATAATGTGTGTACATTTTATGTTGAGCTATAATAGGAAAAATCGGATCAAATACCATTACAAAAATGCGTATTTACATTACCGTATGTATATAAATAATATCGTAATAGTGTCAACGAGGTCTTACTATATGTATTACTAAGTTATGGTTTTTTATCTATTGTTTCTGACATATAATTTTATTCGAATGTTTAGAAATAGTCTTTTGTATTCAATATTTTATTTTATAAGATTAATAGTTTTTGTTGTAAAAAACCATTTAAAGTGATTGCTTTATCGATAATTGATTTCCTTTCTTAATTGCAAAGAAGCAAATTAATATATTTGTGCATTATTGGATTTCAAGTACAAAAGCCGGAAGAGATGGTTTGCTGAACATCACTGATACATCCTTCCGGTAGCCATGATCATATCCGTTCAATCGACCTATCTCTATTGGGATTGAATGTAGAAAAACATTGGGTCGTTTTTAACATAGTAGTTCGACTCGTTTTACATGTTTGTTGTTGGATTGAAACTGTGCGGGCGTGACTGGTTCTCAATCAGAAAAAAAAAATAGTGTTATGAAATGTAAAATATTGTGTCTAAATACAATCGCCATGTGTATAAAACATATTTGGCAAGTTTCTCACAGCTGCATATAACATATTAGACGAAGGCCAAATTCTTATTAATATGATCTATAACTTATTTATTTTAATTTGGTGATCTAATTGATTATTGTTTATCAATTTAAGACATTTAAAATATTATTTTAACTAAAAAATTTTGTTTTAATCAGAATGTTTAACGTATATATTTTTACCTTTTATGTATGCATTTGAACATAATAAATAAGAAAATAATATAAAATAAGTATATTATTACTGTAATATGTGTGTGTGTGTGTATGTTTGTAATTAATAGGGTAGTTAATACTATTATATTTTATTTAATAATTTTAAAAAAATGTTGTTCAAATGAAAAATTATTATTATTTGCTACATATAACAAATTATTTTATTTAGAAAGGTAAAAAAAATAGTTATTAAAGGTCAAGCCATGTTCACGGACGAATTTGCAAACTCCGTTTTGGTCCTTATATGGCTAATTCTAGTTACTTAAATAAACAGATAAACTGTTGTTAAGTGGTTTTCAGGGGTTTCCAATGTTTATTATTTCATGAATATTTGTTTTTGTTATGTATATCTGTACTGTATTTCTATTTGAGTATTAATAATGACTTGGCTCGTGACTTGGCCTGGAAGCAGTGTCACGAGTTTGGCCTAATATGAAAAAGTTCTTTGTTCCTTTTTTATACTTAGGTCTTAAAAATGGTCATACCTTTTATGAAAAATATGTAACAGTTTTTATTGGTATAAGTTGATATTATTAGTATAATGAACATAAATAATTATTTAATGTTATTAGTTTATATTATTAAATATATATATACAATATTAATATACAAAGAAATACTGTGTGGTTGTATCAATTTTTTTTTTTACAAAAAAAAAAAAAATAGACTTTAAATGTTTAATATGACACTCACTGTAAATTATATATATTAATGTTTCAAAGTGTTATTGAAATCTATTTATTGTTATAAAGTTATAAAATTTATAACCATAGTGGCTAAATAGTGGAAATGGAATTTTATTTTATGAAAATAATATATTTATTTAAAATATAGGTACTTTAATTCATACAAATCATTGTATTGACTTATTTTGTTTAAATTCTTGTTTAAATTAATTGAGCATATATTATTATACTATTAGTCATAGTTATCATTTATATGATACGAAACAATGGTATTATGTAATTTAATTGTGATAAGTTCTTCAAAAATATTAACAATATTTATAGATTTTCATGTAACTATTAGAATCCATAACAATGATTCTACTTTTTCATTTGACATTTAAATTACTAATACTCAAGAAGTAAAACAGCACAATGATGGAAATCAAAATACTACTAGTCATTTCTACACATTATAATCACAACTATAAAAAAGAGAAAGTAGATTCAGAATTCTGACTGTTAAACATTACCGTTGTGCTCTGTACCCTATTCATATAATAATTTTACCATAATCATATTCAATTTTTGTTTTCTTTGTAATTTCAAACACTGATAAATAATTTAAAATATTATAAATATAATTTAAAGTACATAACTAATATTATATAATTATAGTTTTAAAATTATTTTTAGATTTGTACAGTCTAGTAACTATTAAATATTTTCTAATATTTTTACTTTATCATAAATATCAAAGACAAAGTTATTATAAATGATAATATAATAATGTTTATAGTAGAGAAAAATTATTTTGCTAATTATCTTTTCTGAAATAATAAAAATTACAGTTAAAAATCTAATGAATTACCTACCTTAATTCTTCTTAATATTTGGTAGAATAATATTCCTCCAATAAAAACGTTTAAGAAAAATTTCTGGGTAAATTAATGTACATTTTAAATGTTATTTATATTATAAGGAATTAAAATTATTAAATATTTTTGAAAAATAAGAACATTTTTTTATTTTTGTGATACAATTAAAAATAGTATATTATTTTGGCATTTTTTAATTTTTTATATTGACAACATAATTTTTATTTAGTATTACAAAATAGAATATTTTATTTAACATTTTAATGTATAAAAATCAAAAAAAAAAAAAAAATTATAAATTGTTATACTCGTATTAATAATAATTTTGAAGTATTTAAAATCTTATCAAAAAAAAAAAAAATAGTTCCACCAACAAATATTTGGCGCTGAGTCATTTTTTCCTTTAAATTGAATTTAAAATTTAAATGCATATGTTATAATTATTATTAGATTTTCAGAAAAATATTCTCCCTTACAAAAAAATTATAAAAATACATGTTGGCTTTTTGATTTTCTTAAATAATACTACCTATAAAAGATTTTCGTTATAATTATAAATGTTGCCCATTTTTTAAAAAATTTTTAGTGTTTTAAATCATGTTATATATTTTTAAAATAATTTAAAACTAGATTTTATTAATAATGCGAGATTTACTGTTTATAGTAATACAATAGAGATATAGTATATATATATATATAATATAATTTAATTGATCAAGCCATAAAGTCGTTTACCAAACAACATTTGGACTTGAAATAAGTTGGTTGATTCGGTCTATAAAAGCGTTTTATGTATCCTTCATGCATGTGTATTATTTATGTAATTGCAACAAATTATTGAATTATTAAATATTTTAACCAATGTTGATTAAATATATAGTATATATATATATATATATGTAGCAATGTAGATTTTTATAATAACGTATATATTTCCTAGTAAATTTCTTACAGATATGATTCATATATACCTATATATATTCACTCGGATTTATCTTTTTTTTTTCGTGTAAATAGTTTAATATAAGGTCAACTTCAATAATATCCTGTGTAACTTTTATTAGGCTTATTAGTAAATAGTTTTATGCATCTAAATTATGTTGTTATACATCAAATTAAAAATAGTAGAGTAAAGTTTTCAAGTCTAATTTTATTACATATTCTAATTTTTATTATTTTTTTTTACTTTCACTTAGTATATTGATAAAATGTGAATCTTTTTTGTACACAAGTTAAAATTTATAAAAGTGGATTCTTGATATTTGGTTTTTATCTTATGCCAATTTAAATGTATTTATAATCTATATTTAACATTGCTGTTGATATTTGTGAATAGTAAATACAGTATTTTTATAACTTTCTCATTAACTTGATAATATTTAAGTTGTCATATTAGGAACTAAATATAAACATTTCCATATCCATATTTTTAAGTGTAAAATGATTAAATAATATATTAGTTTAAATGTATGAGAAATTTTAAAGTTATTGTATTAGTGCATTCATTTAATTTTAAAATTATATAAATGTATCAAATATATTTCAATAGTTTACAGGATTTAACTACTGTTATTTTGTAATTCATTAAACCGTATATTCTTCAAAAACATTGATATATATATATATTTATAAAGCTTACTAACATTTAATTTGATTAACGAAAACATTTATTGTATAAATAATTATTTATTTAATTTATATATTCATATATAAATTAGATATTCAATCAAAAAAATAGTCGCTTAAATAAAAATTCGTTAAATATTATCGACTATTAATATTATATGTATAAAAAAAAATTAAATGCAATTAAATTGAATTTCATAGTTATATGTATGTTAATTATTTATTAGTGTTAAGTAAAACGTCTACTACTATTTATTATGATCTTGTTTTTAATTTTGTTAGTGTATAGTTTCAAGTTTCAATTAATAATCATTTTTTTAGTTAAATATGTTTGATACAATATAATTTTTTCAAGTCGTAAATCTGCTCTTTATGTTTAAATTAAGTGTTCAAAGATATTTTCAGTCAAATTTTCTAATGGTTCTATAAAAAATAGAGAATAATTGCTTATAACATTGAGTAAATCTCAGAACTGAGGGCCATATGTGTTTTATATTTGGCGGATATAAAGCTATTTAAAATTATTGGTGTATATAACAATATTAATCCATCGAATAGAGTTTAAATTTAAAGTATAAACATGCTGTTTAGTGCTTAAAAATATATTAAGAATTGTGGTTAATTTTAGTTAAATGAATGTTTTAATTTTGTTTATTTGAATTTTTTACAGTTAAATGCAACGAACCAAATAAATTAAACTTTATGATATATACACATAATGTCTTGCGTGCGGGAATCATCACCGCAATCTGAACATGTTGTCAATCAAAGACCAGGTAATTAAACGACAATCTGCTCTATTTGAAAACATTCTGTTAACAAAAAAAAAAAAAATGTATATAGAACCCAAAAGACGCCGGTTTCATCCTCTCAGAGGATTACGTCGGATATTCAGACGTAAGGCACCAAGTCCTGAGCCTAACGAAGTCAAATTGTGTGACGATATAATAGAACCACCTAGTTTAGATACGTCTCGAAGTCGCTCTACTAGTCAGCTGATTGACGAGCCATTTACTAGGAGGCGGTATGTACAATGAAAGCAAACTTTTGGTTTTTCGTCTTAATGAAGATTTTAAATTAATTACAGAAGTTTACACTCCACTTTATTAAGTGTCAGCCATGACAGTGTGTTCAACCCTGAACAGCATTCTGGTCAGTCCGATTCTGAATCTGCTGTATCTGTACCGCGACTAGGATTTCCACAAGCCAATATACAGGTAATTTAAGTATAATTTTTATTTTGATAAACATAATATTATATTTTTATTATAAAATAATAATTTTATCCGATGTATTAGTTATCTTGGTATATTATTTAATATTTATATTATCCTAATAAATTTCCCATTGTTTCAATGCTTATTTACACTCATTAGTATTGTTATTTTTAAAATATTTTAAAGACAATAGCTAATTCCCGTGTAATTTGCCATATACTTGTTTTCTAATGTTTATGAAACATAAATCACAAAGTATCCTCGCACAATGAATTATGCATTTATATAATATAAAATTGTTTGAGTGATGTAGATTGCTGTTTTGCATTACTATTTAACTTAGTGCCCAGAAACTCCTTATGTTTATCGTATACATTTTTAAACTTATATAGTCTTGAAAATGCTGCTCATAAGAATATTTTTTTAAAACGGGTTTGAATTAGATTTATTGTTAAAAAAATTAAAAAATATGAAATTTTGATTTTAATGTTATTTGAATTATATGTGAAACCATAATATGATATGTATTAGTTTATGAGCGTTAATTTTACATTTTCTCTCGATTAAAATTAGATAAGCAAGGTTGATGCGCGCGCTAGTGCATTAACGACCTATTATGTGTAGTAAACGTGTACCAGACACTACAATGGCCCGCGAGGCATTTCAAATAGGGAGAATTGCGGGGACCCAGCTGACCGTGACCTTTAATCACTGTAATAGCGAACCATCATGTGTAACGCCCTGTGTGTGATACCTTCTGTGTTCGATGATATATATTTAACTCTTATACTTGTTATATATCATTTTATATAAAAAATATTAAGCTAATATTTCACACAGAACTATGCAATTATGAATTATAATAATATGATGTCTATAATTTAATTACACAACAATTGAGGCCTATTGTAAAATATGAGAATTATAAATTATAATTTAAAATTAAAATTGATGGGTGCTCCAATCAATGGACATAAATTATTATTCATTCATTTATTTTTACATTTTATGAAAAAGTATTTAAATTAGTAAATAATGACCTTTGTGAAAATATTTTGAGTTATTAAAACTAGATAATTTTAAATGTTATTATTTTTTTTACTAATTGAAAATGGAACATTTTAATAGAGATTTAAAATTCTAACGAAAAACTTTATTTTTGAGCTATATTATTATTTATATTGTTATTTTATATTAAATTGTATTTACTTAAAAAAAGGCCGAATTACTCGAAGCTGTAAGAAGACGAAGAAAAGTTCAAGATGACGATGATAGTGATGATGTGGACGAAGAAGATTTGGGACTCCCCCGAAGCCCATCAATGCATTCTCCTACAATAGCTGCTGGCAATGATCTCCTATTGAGCAAAGTTAGATAATTAAATATATATTTTTATAATTGATCTTAACGCAAAAAAACTATTATTAGGAGCTGATAACTAAATCTTCACATAGCACCTGCAGTGATGGATCACTCCTTAGTATGGGAAGTTCAGAAATGGATGAAGTAAGATAAATTTATACATAAAATGTAAATTATGTTTATTTAAAGGTCCCCCACGCACTGCCGTGGTGGTGGCGGCGGTGGCGATGGCGATTTTTATCCAGTATAAACATAATATATTTATATATCACATACAATAATTGTGTAGTTAATTAATTAATTCCTATGTCATTGATAAATTGGCGGTTTATCTGTGTAGTACGTTAGTACTATATTAAGTACTTATACTATTGTACATATTATACTCATTATATATATATATATAATATTGTATTGATTATTTTTATATGAATTATTTTTAATTAAGTTAAACTATAACTTGAATAGTTTCTAGGAAAATCGAAGTCTAGACTAATACACACTATATATATTAGATAGCATAGGTCAGTGGTGCCTAACCACGACCCGCGAAGGTATTCTATATGTCCCATTACGAATTTTCTAAAAAAAAAAAAAAAAATTTAAAAATGTATGAAAACATTTTTAAATTATTTATTTTCATATATTATTTTTATTTAAATTTATTAATTCATTTAAATAATTATTCCAAAAAATACAATTATATATACCTCAATTTATAATCTTTTCAATAGTCAATAAAAGATAAGAAAACAAGTCCAATATATAAGATTATTTTTGTACTTTTATACTTTGTGGCTCGCTTGAAGATAATTGTTTACCAAAGTGGCCCGCCAAAGGAAAAAGGTTGGGCATCACTGGTATAGGTACTATTAGCTTATATTTGATAAGTCAATTGAAAATACCGCTGCGCAGTGCCGGTGAAATCGAGCATGCTGCGGTTTTTATAAATATCGCAGCGGCGATATTTTACCGAGGCCGAATTACCGCTTCAGTGTGAAGACTCTCATTACAATACGTGTGTACAAATTTAACGCCACCGCGGCAGTGTGTAGGGACCTTAATAGAAGTATTAGAAGTATTCAATTTTCATAATTATCAGTCGAGTTATTTAAGACACATTAATTGAGTTTACCTTGTATTAATGTAAAGTAACAAAAATTTAATTCCTTCTTAAGAGTTCTGCTAGAGTTTTGTTTTTGATTTAAAGTTTATAAATATATCTAATTTCATTAAATATAAGTAGTTTCATTTATAATCAATGCTGTTATCAAATGCGTAAAAATGTTTATTCTACTGTGCTTTAATTTTTAACTAAATAGTGTTATATTATGATTCAGTTTGATATTCAATTTAATCAAAACGTTTGTATATTTTAGTATTTGATAATTTGTGTTTTTAATTTAAATATGATAAAATTGTTTTATTTATTATTTGCCATTACTCATTATTAAGATAAAATATAATCAATTTTTTTATATTGTGCTTTTTAGTAAAATATTTACTAACGTAAAATGACAAATTATATTTTATATATTTAGTAATATTTTTGTAGTGCGTTTAAATTTAGAGTAACATTAATAATAAAAATATCTCACGTTGAATTTATATTCTAATTTCTAACATTTTAAAATATTAATTTTTTCCAAAGGATTCTTTCGGAGCTCATAATTCTCGACATTCGTCAAAAGTATCATTATATGACAAACGTACTTCTCAAACTCACCTAGACAGTTCAGGTAAAGGTTTTTGTTTAAAGTATTTAAATATACTCTTTTGTGTTATACATGTAAAATATTAACTTCGTGTAGATGGTGATTCTTCGACTAGCGTTCCCCTTAGTCATAGTGCAGCTAAACACCGAATGGCAATCAGGCCTAAAAGAAAGCACGGCAATCCTCGAAGCAAAAAACCGGTAAGTTTAATTTAATTTTATCAATAACATTTGTTTAGTTTCCATAATATTGAATCGATTTTTGATTATGTATAGCTTACCGTTGCGAATGCTCTTCCCGCAACTCCCGAAGTAAACGAAGAGCACTCTGGCCGGTCAGCATCGCCCGAAACGAAGCCTCAAACCACCGATACAGCAGGTATATACAATTACGGTCAAAGCTATTCTGCTTATTACCCGACAAAATTCAAAGCCAAACGACCTCTAAAAAATAATACCTTTACAAAATCAAAACGTAAAAAACCTAAGCAACGGTGTTTATTTCGACTGAGTGGCTGTCTTAGCCGTAGTCGCTCCGGTGCGTATCGCGTGCGAAATGACACGCTTCCGTATTTCGTTCGGAGTTCGACCGTTCGTCCGGTTGGGTTCAACAAGATTTCTCCTCTATTGTCACATCGTAAACAACAACAACAATCACTTCAACAAATTGATGTGACCAAAGGTAGAATTAGACTGAATTTATACGCTTATCCGAAGGGGTATTTAAAATATTTGGAAAGTTACTTCACGTGTACTAGTGGTAACTCCAACAACAACGAAGATGTCAATTTGACAAAAAAAAGACTGTCCGCCATCTGCGAAGAAGATGTGTGTCCCCTGTGTGGGGGTTCAATAGATTACGCTCTGATGAGAACTGCAACAAGTCGGTGGCAAAACGCTTTGCTAGTACCGTTTTAATTTTTTTTATACTTCAAGTGTTTCATGTATTAACGATGGTTACGCGTGTTCATGTTCAAATCTAGGTGTAGGTTTTTAAAATTTGCTTTTTAATCTATGCAACAGCACTTTTTAAAAAATCGTCTTTTTACTTTTTCGGTTTGCACTCACACGTGTGTATCTATTTTTGTTTACAGATGGCACCACTATTACCACCAGTCCCATCACCATTACCACTTTAACCACCACTACCACTACCACCTCCATCACCGCCATTACAACCGCCGCCGACGACGGTTCTTGCACCGCCGCTTCTGTAACGCCCGGGTCCTGTGACCTGGACACGTCGGTCGACGAAATTTCCGTGGAAAACGTTCCGCGGCGCGAAGAGGGCTTTTTTCACCGCTTGTTGTCGCGCCGAAGTACCAAGAAAAAGCCCACAGCCAAGTCCACGTCGACCGAAGACGTCGATGTGGACCGATTTTTGTTTGACGAGACGATGGGCGCGAAACCGAGGCAGCGCGAAGAACCACCGCCGGCGGGTCGCATGCAAGTGTCGTATCCGCCGGATTTGCCACCCGACCATCAGCCGTACACCGACGGCGGCGGTCACGTGTCGACGCACGTGTTGGCCGAAGAGATTTTTGAGTCGGACACGTTCGCCCCGATCAAACAGTCGTTCAGCCTTGGCCAGCAGACGGCCTCTACTGACGAGGACGCGACTTCCACCGGCGGCGGGTCTTCGGTGCAGAAGTCGTCGTCTTCGGACAGCGTGTCAAGCGCCGCGTTGGACGAGCCCACGGCCGGCGCGGAGTCGGTGACCACGACCGAACGTTGCCGCAGTTATAGCTCCAGCGATTCGGAACACCACGTCAACGGGCATCTCCACGTTCAACGTGCGTTTCCCGTGCCGGCGCCGCGCCTCTCTAAACTGTACAACGGCGGTGGTGGTGGTGGTGGCGTCGGTGGTGCGCCCGTGGACGTGGTAGTGCGCAGGAAAAAGCGTGACGATCAGCAGCCCGAACTGTTCAAGGTGTTCGCGCGGCGGTCGTTGAAGTTGGGCAAGGACGGCGAACCGGAGCTGCTGCTGGTGGCCGGCGACTGTGCGGATGACGGCGGTGGCGGTGCCAATGAAGAATACAAGGAGTGTGCTGACGAAATCACCGTGGTACCGTCCGAAAACGAAGTGGTCGTGGTCGTTGTGGACAATAAGCCCGAAGTGGACGTGAACGAGAATCAGACGCCGCCGGTAGCTCCGGCGATCGAAGTCGTGCCCAGGTTCAAGCGCATCCAGCAGCGCCGAGAGGAGTGGGAGAAGAGATTACTGCAGCAGCAACGGAATTGAGCCAAGTTATATCGACCCATATCCTCAGTTTTCCTTTCCTCCCGCGTTCGCCAATCATTCGTGGCTCCCCTCACCTTAGCCCACTAGCAGTGTGCAGTAAATCATTTTTAAGCAATATTATAAATAATCGCTTTTACATTTTATATATATATATATATATATTTCAATTTTCCTTTTTATATACACGGAACGGTGCTAGATGATGGTTGTTTTCTTGTTTTTTTTTTCACCCGAGTGGCCTTATACTCGACACAGAGAAGAATAAGTTGTGATTTTCGTCATATTCGTTATGTAGATGCAATATATTTATATATGTACAAGTACGGTTTTACCGCAATGATATTAATTCAACCTATTTTACCATTTTCTTAATATAAACATGTTATACAAATTTATTACATATATGTATTTATCGAAAGAGAGTATATAGTTATATTGTTGGACAAATATTTTTTCATTAGGTCGAAAAGTCTATTTTAATGTTGTGTATTATATTATAATTACATTTATTAAGTCTATAGAGAATAACGTTTTAGTAACGTTTTTCGTTTTCTTTGTTTTGACCACAATTAATCTGTGATTTCCAAAAAACGTTTAAGACATTTTTTTATAATAATTTTATCGTAACATTACCTGAATATTCACAATTGTTGTTACCCTCCCCCCCTCTTGTTTGATCTTTAAGTCCCATGAAGTTCCTTCCACCTTGACTATTTTACCATTGTCCATTATACATTTTAAGACAGACTATTTTTTTTATACCTTTTGACAATATTAAAATTTTTTATCTGCGTGATCGTTTTATGCGTTGTCACAATGTTAACGCATGCGTCATGTTGTCCACCCCGCCGATTAGCGGATTGAGTATAACAACCCGACTATTAGACCGTGTATTATCAGGTTTAAGGGAATACTCTCGAATAACAACGGTTCGGGTAACAATGCGTAACGATGACGCTAAGTAGCGTGTCACTTGTAGTGAACTTATCCTCGAGTATTTTTCAGCAACAGGTTGTGTGTTTTTTTTAACGTAAGACTTCTATTTACAATTCAAGACTTAATAAATTAAATAAATAATTAAATTCGATCGAACATCGAAGACGGCAAAAGATGATTCAGCAGTTGTCTTAACAAAATATTATCGGTGGTCGATCGATGGATTTAATAGTGATAATATTATGTAGTTAAATGGTTAAAAAATAATGTTTTAATCAAAATATAAAAAATCTCCCTTTTACGTATTTGTTTATATCATGTCATCAAATCGATTTGAAATTATTTCGATTTATTTTACATTATTGTGATCATCATCACCTTATTTTTTATTTAACAATTTTTATTCTAAACCTGTATTCTTTATTATCATTATTATTATTATTATTATTATTATTATTATTATTATTATTATTATTGTATTTGAATGTGTTAAATATTTATTTTTCGATGAACCGTATATTTTTGTATTTATATTTTATGGCCAAAATATTTCAATTCGAAATTATGTATACATATACATTTTATTATACATATAATGTGTGTATAAATATATCTTTTTGTTGAAATAATTAAACTATTATAAATGTATGGATTTTAACAAACGTAACAAAATATATAAACGACTGGTGAACATAATGTCGACTAAAAAATAAAAAATAAAAATAAACTATTCCGTGGTTCAGTTGATTTCCGTTTCCCTTTGTTGATTTTCCTCAACCGTCGCAGTCGTTTGTTCATCAATGTTTTGCATTTGTTCTTGGTCGCCCGTTAGGGTCCCGCTTCGCGACATGCGACGAGACACGCTCTGCGTGCGACTGCAAAAGTGTACAACAATAGAAGAATTGTTACCGAGTTATCAAACGTTCCAATCGAATTAATTATTTCACCACCATGAAATAAAATATTTACTTTGAAATTTGCGCTTTTTTCGTTTTTACGAATATTCGGTAACCAACGCACACCAGCACGAGGAACAGCGGTCCCAGTAGAATGAGCATGATCGGCACGATCGTTACCAACGCCCTCGACGAAAACTCTTGGTGACCTGCGTGTATACGTTGTCAGTAGTGCGCGATCAAAATATTTAAACACAAACGGTATGGTGCCAAATTTATAGTGCCCATGTCCGTAAATATGTTAAATCCGCCCCTGATCGCAATCCATGATTTCTATCTCTGTCTATAACACAAGGATTTAAACGTTTTTTTTTCCTAACGTACTTTTTTACGTAACTGATCGATCAGTTGATGCAATTAGGATATTAAAAATGTATTTTAGTTCATCGTACAGTCTACTGTCGCTCGATTTTCTACTTTCGATATAACTTGATTTATAAAATAATTAACTTTTGTCGATTTTTATGTATACAATTTTTTTGATTTTATTTTGCGAAATGTTAGAAGATGAAAAATTGTAAGACTGAGAAAATTGATTTAAATTAGATTTCACGACGAATTAAAATCAGTTTTCCGTATACCTACTTATTGCGTCAATTGATCGATCAGTACTTAGGTTGTAAGTAGAAAACGTTTGATTCCATATGTTAAGCGTGCAATAGACAGAAACGGAAAAACATGAAATGCAATTCTCTTAATACATATTGTGATATTGTGTATTTTTTTTACGGTTCAGATGAATGATGATTGATTTATTGCATACCGTGTTACAACTTAATATATGGCCGATGTGACTTTGAGACTTCAAAAAAAAAAAAAAAACCCGTTGAAAATAACTGAAATCACGAACAAACACTATGTGAAATGATTAAAACAAAGACCATAATTATGGGAAGTCGAAAAAAGCTTTTTACTGCATCGAAAGTGAGCGCAGTGCATTGTTTTATGATACGGATAGGAGTGAAAATCATAAATTATACAAGTATAATAGATAATAAATGAAGTGGTACGGTCGGAAATTCAAAATAATGATGACGGCCGTGTGACAAAATCGCACTGTTTCGAATCTGACGAATCATGTTGTTTTCGACGTGGTAAATATTTTTTCGTACCGTTATTTGGCCGTTTGTCTAATGACCCTTGGAGATGTAATGCGTTACACGCTTGTTTAGATTTTGCGTCAATATTTTTCTAGATAAATATTATTGAAAAAAAAAAAAATGTGCACTATTCATATAAATTGTGTAACGTCAAGTAATTATTTATTTATTTTTTTTTTAATTGTTTATCACAGCTAATTTATTTACAATATATTCAAACGAATACAATTAGTAAACGTGAATATAGTTGACATTTTTTGAAAACTAATTTAATTTGATCTTGCGAAAAATAAATAGAAAATATAAGTATGCATAATATTATTCTTTATTAGACATAAATATTTTTTAAGGATCTGGGTTAGTTTTTATCAGTAAGTTTACCTGCTGAAAAAAAATTTGAAATATTTGAAAACCAAATTATCTGTGTAATTTCTACGTTAATTTAATATAATACCATGAATGTTATAGTACCTAATTATATTTATAAATGTTTTGTATACGTTTTTAGTGTTCTGCTCTGTATATTATGTAGTAAATAGGTGTACATTTAATAACTATACCTGTTAGGTTATTTCTGTTATAGTTTTAAATCTGAGGAATCGTTATATTATACATTATAGCGTTTAAGTTTTGTAAACGATGTGTTATAAAATGATCCGTTGGTAATGATATTACAATGAGACGGATATAGGTTGGAGAAAAAACAACACAATTCATGTGAAATGAAAACGATTGCGGTTTAATTAAAAAATTGATCATATTATATATATTACACAGAACGCATGTATTCTCGCGTTATAATAATCGATATAGGCATCTATACAAAATCGAAAAACTTAAATAATATTTACAACCAGTATAAGGAGTGTTAAAGTCGAATTTTCATTCCACATGATTGGCGTGCAGGCGACGAGTTTAACTTCATATATTTCGTTCATTCGCTAGTCCAATAACATACATGTGTATATTTTGTGACTTAAGTTTGTATTTTCATATATTGTCCGCGGTAAAAAAAAAAAAAGCGATCACGTAGAAATGTACGAGGAACGGTCAGGACGTATACCACCTACTCGTTGTTGTCCAAACGATTGAAACCCGAATCGACTAGGAAACCGTATATATTATTATTTAGCGTTAAATATATTATGTTCGCTCGGCTATTCCGTTAAACCGTTCCGCTTTTTATGGCCTACACGAGTACGCTAATGTACAGGGCCCTATGACCTACATAAGTTTAATAATATAAGGAACCTCATGACTGAACGTACATCGAATATGGTTTGAAGATGCAGGTTTTTGTTTGAAATTTTAAAAAATACACGTTTTTCTTTTCTCTCTTTTCGCTTGGAGAGAAAAATAAACAAATACTGCTCGACTGAAATTATTCACCTGCCGAAATGGTTTTTAAATGTAATCGGTCATTTATTCCCCCCCCACCTCTTTGATCTGAGCACTTCGCGGTGAAACAGTAGGTTAACGCAGCAGTTGTTGATGTCGAATTGCTTTCGGAAGACCCGGAGTACAGATTATTTACGTTCACGTAAGCGTATCGCGCTATTCGGTAAACGAGTAAGAAACCATATAATTAGTATACGGTAGAAACTATTTACAACGACGGCGTCGAGGGGACGAGAAAACTTGACGATTCGTCCGACGGATGGTTTTTCATGTAATCGTACGGATTTCCGCCGGGATCGCTACCGTAAATGCGTATCGGTCGAACCGACCGCTGTCATCCATAGACGCTTTCCACTGCGTTATCACACGAAAGTAGTACCATACCGCAGCTGTAGACCAGTCGATGCACGCGCGGTCGCGCACGGATCGGTGATGTAAACACTACGGATTTAATATCTGATTATCCAGCGGCGGACTGGCCCACCGGGATACCGGGAAAGTTCCCGGTGGGCCGGTAGTCGTATTATAACGCTGGGCCGATGTACTTGGATTGAAAATTATTTTATAAAAATAATGTGTTTAAGTTTATTGCATTTAATTGCAAGATTGTGATAAAAACCCAGTGTAAACGTGATGTAAACGATTCCACGTGCATTTAATCCACGAATAAAGGAGACTTTTATGGACAGTTATTATTATTGAATGGTGGGCCGGTCATACGGTAATTTACCGGGCCGAAATTTTTAACCAATCCGCCGCTGTGATTATCTATCGTAAGTACGTTGAACAACCATTCGGAAGACCGTCCTGCGGTAGGCTAGCGCGCCGTGACTTTTCGTTGTGCGTATCCGCGTGTGAAAAAGTAGTTGGCACGTGAAGTGATCAGAGAAAATATCATTTACGAAAAATTATAATCGCGAAATTTCGAACGGTTTTTTTTTTTTTGAATACCGGCCGGAAATAAAACTGGAATATTCACCGCAGCGAAATAACCGTGGTCGTTACGTGGAATGAAAATTCGTCCTCTTACACAATAATGTCGCGTTACAAGTGAAAACAGTATGCAGTGTTGTGGTCGTGGAGGTACCGAAAACGAACGGCTCGCCGGAAACCGTTTTGGCGGCGAATTAGAAAACTATTTATATATCTACAATTAGGATATGAACTGTCCGCAGCAATCGTCGAACCGAAAGACGTTGGTTTTCCGACGGTTTTTGGCGGACAGGTTAGGTGTGAACAGGCGGAAAAACCGGTTCGCTTTCGGTACGGTCCACGGGAACGGGGACACTGTTCCGCGAACGTTCCGTTAAAACGAGTCTTTGAATCTGGACGGTAAAATCTGCTTCTGGACCGCGACCGACGGTCCGGCCGCGGGTTCGTCGGCCGGCCGGTTGGCGGTGGACGGCGGCGGCGACCCCGGAACGTAAATGGCCGTCCTCTTGTCCACCTTGTACAGCTGGCGCTCGTACTCGGCGTCCAAGTCCCAGACCTTCGGCTCGAAGTCCACGTCCGGTTTGCCGGGCAGCGGCTCGTGCGTCCGGTACACGGCGTCGTAGGACCGGCGCGGGTTCGTGGAACTCGGCACCGAGCCGTCCGGCGCTTCGGACGAGTCGCTGACGTCCGCGTCGTCGGGACGATCGTCCGCGCCGCCACCGCCGCGCGTATCCTCTCCGCCGCCCCTACCGAGCCCCGCCCCCGACAGATCGACCGTGCTCAGGGCCAGCACCGAGTTGCGCCTCTTGGCCGCCCGCGTCGTCTGGTACCGCAGGCTCAGCCGGCCGCTGCGCCGGTACACCTGCGACACCACGCAGCAGATGCCTACCAGCAGCGGTACCATGATGCACGCTATCAGGGCGATCGTGGTCCACGCGCTCCTCGACTCGTACTCCACGTGACCTTTACACACATACACACACACACACACAGTGAACCATGAATAATTTCACAAAAAGTTTAATGGTTTATTTCGTACTGCCCGTCCGAATATTATACATTTACGGATGTTCTAAAAACCAATCACACCAATACCGTTGTATATTAATTGGCAATTCACATTGAACGTGAACGCTTAAGAACCGCCATAAAGTCGTATGTATCGAAAACGAAAAAATGAAAATGCAATTCTGGAGCTTGAGTTTGTTAAGATCGTGTTTAGAATTAAAAACCTATATTGGTGTATATTGTTTGTTATTGTATGAAATATTTTTTTTAAATCTATATCATATTATATTCGAATACCTTTTCAAGTTAAATTATCTCTCTTAGTGTTAAAAATGCTAAGTTGAGCTAAGAAACATCCAAATTTTACTGAGACAGTCCATGCCAAAAATCTTTCAAATAACGATGTATTAACATAAGTAGTATTTTGACCACGTTATATACAACAATTTTTTTTTCCGAGTACGATTTAACATAAGTGTAATTTATACATTTTATTTACGTACTATACTTTAATCGATTTTGTACATTTTAAATCAACCAAATTTGGATTCAATTATATATGATAACATTTATAAGTCAGATCCTAGGAAAAGTTAAAGTTAACTATTCGTTAAATTTTTAATCTACTATTGCTCAACAATGAACTTTAATCTTTATGTAGCAGTGGTGCCCGACCCGCAGCCCGTGGGCCATGTGTAGTCCGTTATAAATCTTTAAAATGAAAAATAACATTAAAAAAAAAAATGTAAATTATTATAAATTACGATTTTTTAATAATTTATCAATATTATTTTCGGACAAATAGAAATTTTACGATTTAATATGAATATAACACGTGCACTTAAATGAGAGTACTGATCAAATTAATGTGTACCTACCACGTGTACCTCAATCTGTGATCCATTCAATTGTTAATAAAATGTATGAAAACAAGTTGGATAGTACCTACATGTATATTGTAGACCTATTATGTTTAATACAATTATATTATTAGATTAATATTGACATTATTAGTACTTTTGAATTTAGTGGCGCGCTCGAATATAATTGTTTATCGAAATTGCCTGTCGAGGAAGAAAGGCCATCAGTGTTATATACGAATATATCGCTTAGACAACGTGACTAATTTCATTTATAGACGGGATTTTAAAATTATAGCTTTATAATTATTTTGTTATTTTTTCTAACATTTAGTAAAATACAGTCTATACATACACTAAGGCTTACAGGAAATGGTAAGGTATATTACACGAACATTAATATTTTTGTACGTTAGCGGTCGGTTTTAATACGCGCCCAGTGCGGCAAAAGACTATCAAAGGTGACATTAAATCATTTATGAATTTATTTTTCTTTATAATATACCCATGTAATAATATTCTTAGATTTAGATAAGATTTATATTTTTATAATTTTTTGTATTTTAAATGTGTATTTAGTTATTTAACTATAAGTAAATTGGAGATGACTGAATCAGAATTTAATAAAATCTCTAATTAAAATCGTACGTGGATTCTAAATCTGCCAAACTATAATGGAAGGATCTATAAAGTTTATAAAAATGTGGATAACAAAGATTAATCAATCATTTTTATCTTTTATTTTATACCTTCTTTGATAGTTTCACTATGATGCGTTTTGATTGTTTTCTGAAAATCGAAATTTCTTAACCAACGCGAAAATTGTTTAGTTATTTCTACATTGTTAACATAATGAATCTCACATTTGGCTGAATACGGCCAATTATACTTAGAAAATAAACGTTGACCGTTTTTTGTGGAAACTGATTATTATGAGTGTACATAGACGACAGCGCGATATTGTAGTAGTAGTAATTGAATAACGTTATATTATACTCCATAGTAGCAGTAGTTATTTTCGTCGTACTTTTATACAACTATAGGGCGAACGCTATTCGCTTAGGTTTGTCGGAAAATCCTGTCTCCGCGCCACTATGTTACGCCACGTGTATACTTAATACCAATATGTGTAAATAGTAATAATGTAGGTACTAATAATAATGTTACTAATAATGTTACTTGTAATAATGTTAGTGGTCGTCGGTGACATTATTTGTAAGGACTCTCGATTTTTTACCACGATTGTACGATATAGAATTCGATTTACAAGTATTGTGGCGAGGTTTTCTAACCGTAATAGTATTTTACACATTATTATGGTTTCCACGTGTAGGTAGAAACTCGGTAAAAGATGAAACACTTTTTCCGCTGAATTCAGTCCCGATTTGTGACAAAAACGAAAATGTGTGATAATAATAATGTATCATATATGGTTGCGGAGAACGAAGCAAATTAAATTATATCCAAAATGTAATTAAACGTGTTTCGTTGCGGGTTAGGTTAAAAAGTTTAAGAAAACTTTATATTTGTCGACCGATTTCTACGCGGTGTGGATTAGCAAATTGTTGCACGAACCTGTGTGTCCGAGTGACGATAAAAAATGATTTGGCATGGGTTTGATGGAATCCGTGAAATTTGTTGATAAAAAAAACTGCGGATAACATTGTACATTCGCTGCATATTTGTTTTAAAACAACTTAATATCAAGTGACTACGTTCACGTGTACATAGTGTTTAACGCATTTGTTAGAATCAGTGCATGCTATCGTAGCATCCAAAATTTTATTTAATAGTTCAATGTGTTTCGTCCTGATCAAAAAACGAACAATAACATACGTCTTAGTAAACCTTATTTTTATAACTTATTATGATTAACCTGTATGAAAATTCACGTGGTCAATGAAAATATAACTATGAAACGTCAATGATAAAAGAAGGTTTTTTTTTTAAGTTTGTTTATTAACCTATATGCATCCTTTATAGCAGTGGTGGCCAAACTACGGCCTGCGGGCCAACTCCAGCCCGCCATCATTTAATATCTGGCCCGCGAAAGTCTTATATATTACAGCACTTATTTGTATAACTGTAATATTTTGCATTTACGTAAAAAAAAAATTGAAAATGCATTTTTTTATGGCCCATGGTAAAAAAAAAGTTGTTTTTTATGGCCCGAGGTAAAAAAAGTTTGGCCATCACTGCTTTATAGCAAGGATGGAAAACTGGCGGCCCGTACTATATTTTAAAATTACATCATACAGATTTAAAGTTTATCGTCTATACTCTAACTTGTCGATAAAATAATTGTTATCTAACATTTAACATTGCTAAATATCTTAATGTCATATGTATGTATTAGTATAGCTTTCAACCATAGCTGTCTGTACCAAACTATTTAATTATATTAGTTTCTTCGTATTGTGCTGTCGTGTGTGTTAAATTTATTATTTCCGTGTATATAAATGCTAATTAAAATTCATATTTTGAATGATCTTTTTTTTTTTTCTATGATCTGGCCCCTTAGATTTTAATTTTCTAAAACTTGGCCTTCTAGTAACTTTGAGTTGCCCATCCCTGCTTTATAGCATCGTTTGTCGGCCCTACAGCGTAGATTTTATTAACTATCGATTTTGACGGTAACATCGATATAAGGATGTAGCCAATTTAGCCGATATTACCGAATCGAGAAGCGAGTTACCGGTAGCATTTACTGTCTACAAAGTATATTAATATTTTCGGGAACGCAAGTAGAATACGATCATCATGTCAGTGTACGAGTGTAATGCACACACACATGTATATATTACTCATATACTCACGTAAACATTCCGTGTACCCATACTCCGGAATATCCCATTTTCCGTCCGATGAACAGGATCGCCTCTGGTCACCAATCAATACGAACTCTTGGTTGCATTCGAACGTCACTTTGGTGTTGGGAACGAATAAAAAGTTACTCTTCCGACCGAAACGTGGCGTTTCCAAAACACCACACGAAATCACTGCAACGACGATGAGTTAGAAACAACGGTGAAACATCTATTCGAACTCGGGTTATAGACCATGTGCGCAATTTGCTGTGCCTAACTACATGCCTCCGTAAAAATATTCCTTCGTAATCTCTTTTCCTCCCACGATTTCATATTTTCGTTCGAAGAACTTAATTCAGGCATTTAGATAAATAATGTTTATTATAATTAATTCTTCTAACGTTTCACCGCCCCTTTACGTCTTTACGTAGAAAATAATGTAAGATTAAATTAATAAGCTACGCCCATGTGTCGTCTGTATACCAGTGACGGCGTGAAATTATATATTATTATTTGACCCGCACACCAGCTTATTGATATAAAACACTCCTCGTATCCTTTTTCGTCGTCCGATGCATTATTTACAGTTTGAAAGCCATTATTAATAACATTTAAACATATTAAAAGAATAAAAAACAAAACGATAAATCTTCAGACTCGCAGAATCTATCCCGTACGGACAATGGTCTATTTTACAATATATATACTTATTAAGTCGTCCGCTCACCTCTCTGTTTGCTCATTTTTTTCGTGTTGACGAACCCATCTTGATATTGCAACGTGTAGAATGCCAGATCTCTGTTGAGACTGACCGAGTAGTCGTATTTACACTGGTACGAGTCGCCACACAACTCGTTGGCTTTTTGTATGTCGGCAGAACGGTTGGCGGGTATGATGAGTTCCGGGGTGGACTCGAAAACCGGTTCGAACGTTCGGTTCGCGTAGTAACTGGCCGTCCGACCGTATTCGCGGAAAAACAACGCGCCGCCCTTGTTTTTCTCGTCCCTATCTTCTAAGATCCCTGCGATCGAAAATTAGATGTGAATATCGCGCGGTACTTGCACGGGTAATTTAAACATTTACATCTTATTGAGGCGCATAAAATAAAACAACACGCCTACCCCAAAATAATTGTTCCCGCTTTAATCGATCTATATCCTAAATTTGTTATAAGTTCGAAATGTATCGCTAAATTAGTTTTTGGTACTGAAAACTGTAATCGTAAGGTGTGTCAGTTATAGAATTGAGGTCGAACGGAGTGCAAGTGGACGGAAGAAGCGGTCTCGCGATAAATAGTAGTAATAACACAATAAGTCAATATTATTGCTGTGAAATTGCCTAAATTTTGCGCCGTATTAAACGATAATGCTGTGCCATAAAAAAATATAGATACGGCCATAACAGCGTAGCAACAATTACCGCAGGACATCGACAGAACTATAGACAAGATAATTCGTTTGGTATCGCTTATGTCCCGTAGTAAAACCGTTCGTTCAGTGTTCGGTAACAACATCATGCTTGTCGCTTTACCATACTGGTACGGTATTACTAATACGCGCCATGTACTTACAATTAGAAGCGTACTGCTTGTGTACCGATTCGAAATCGTACGTGTTCGGTTGTACCAGCATTCCGTCGGGTAATGTGAAGTCGTCCGACTGATCAAAACTCCAGTTACCGAACAGCCCTCTCGTTCGATTCTGTAAAAACGAAGATTAATCTCGTATGGTGAAGACGGCTGTGCGCGACGGGTAGTATTTACGATAAACTGCCAGGGCAGGTACACCCGAGTGGTCATGAACCCTTTGTTTTCCAACACTTCCAACCCGGCTCCCGACTGGAACATGACCACTATCTCGGACTGGTTCAGCACGTACGACGGCGAGTAAACGGTTACACCTTACGGGACGGATGGAATAAAAACAAAAAAAATTACAACAAACAATACCGACAACGAATTACCGCGAAAACGGTTCGCGGTTCAATATCGTTAGAGTAACGACAAATTATAAATTATAATAAATTATAATTATAATAAATTCTAAATTATCATTAGAATAACGCAGTATGTTCTCGTGTTTACCGTGGAAGTGTTGCACTTTCAGCGCCGGTCTGTCGAAGTACACCCGTTTGCCGTCGGCGAACACGTCCAGCCTGTACCGCCATTGGGCGGCTTTCGGCCGTAGCCGCACTTCGATCACGGTGGACGTGTTGTCGCGTGACACTACGGAAGTCAGCGTGGTCGCCCTCACCGGGCCGTAAATGTTGTCCGGTAACTGTTCGAACCTGCCTTGGACGTCGAACTTGAACTTCTCCGAATCCACGTGTACCAACACAAACTCGCCTTTGCCGTTGAAAGTGTATTCCAGATCGTCGAACGTGATCACGTGTGGGTCGCCGAACACGGTAGCTGAAACACACGGGTAGCATGTTAACGTTTCAGTCGATCAACCGTAGAGCTCAAAAAGAGTGCATATAAATTAATGGGTGCGTTGCTCTCGGCTTATGTACGATTAATTAAATTACGGCAACCTGAATTTTTTGAAAAAAATTTTTTTAACATTATCCCTAGCTTAAAACGTGTTCCGACTATACATGAATCGGTTCTACTGTAATGCTACGTCCAAGGAAATATATGAAATTATTATCTGATAACCGTTTACGTATTTAATCTCGTTCGAGTCGTCTTAACGAAGGATCGGTTAAATCTCGTAATCGGATGTGTACTAAATCATAATGTATTAGACGTCCAGGTATTTTTCACGTACCCACGTACGGTGATTGGTACGCGACGCAGTCTTGGGTCGGACGTCTTTCGAAACGGTAAGTCTCGCAGCCGACCGCTTGCTCCTCCTGCCATAAGCAGCACGGGAAAAACGGGCTCATGTCATGGAACCACTGGGACAGCGTCGGTACCTGCGGGAAAATGAAAAGCATCAGTGGTACAACCGTATCGATTCGCTCGTTCCAAATAGGTTCACGTCTTATGTCCTCCCTCCTCTCTAAAAAAATCCAATAAATAAAATAACAAAACAATCACTTTGTTCGCCTCCGTCCATGGTAGGAATCCCAGGTTATGCGATCTTCTGGGCCTCGAGCCCCACTGCTGGTCGTAGGACAGCATCAGGAAGTTGTTTTTGTCGTAGCAGCATTGCTGCTCCGAGCCCTCCATGCTGGGCGCGCCGGTCGTCACGCAGTGCACCGCTCCCTTGTTGTACAGGCACTGCGGGTTTGCGTCCCTGTCGCAGTCCGCGTCCGGCAAGAACCGGCCCCGGTCGACGAGCGCGTGTTCCAGCGTGCACGGGCACTGGAATATTTCGGCCGCGAAATTCTTTAGGTACCTGTCGTTCTTGATCCAATCATCGCACAGCTTCTGGGGCCACGTGGGCCCGTACCACTCTTCCCATTGTGGCGCGAAGTACCACCCGAGCGGTACCGGTTTGCTCCACAGTATCCTGCGGAAACAACAACATCCGGTCATAACTACAACCGCGGTGACGGCGGTGAGTGGAATACCGCTATTCATGTTTCATTACAACGCCTACAGCTGGTATGATTTAAACTTGACCGTATCAATAATAATAACTATAGTTTTAGTATGTTCAGTGCTCGAATTGGAGGGGACGCAAGAGGACTGAGAATCTTTAATAATGGGCTGGGTCACGTGGAGAGAGAAACGTGGGCCTGGAGGCTATGCGTTTTGAATCGCCTGTTATTAGTTATTGAGCAATCCCAAAAAGCCGAACATGGGTGAATTCTAACTTCCTCCTCCCGATCAAGCCCCATAGTGGGACAAGGTTCTAAGTTTTTTTGCTGGGTAAAATAAGTAGAGGGTATATATTTTTTTTAAGTTGTAAGCTTTTATTTTTCCAATTCGATGACTGATAATATAATAATAGTGATAAGAAGTAAAAAGACTGTTTTACGGAGAGATCGAAATGCCGGAGTACATGGTCGGGTTGACCAGTTGTATCTGCAAGAACCCAAATGTCAGATCTAAGTTTCGTGTGTTCTCGCGGTCTTCAAAAGCCTTTGGGCTTATCACGTATTCACCGGAGTTTGGAATGTTTTCCTACATTGAATTTACAAAAGTATTACTTAATTTCAACACCGGGATTATTTTTTTATATACATAATCTCGGTGATGCACAATTTTTTTATATACATTGTGCATCACAAACTTACCGCTATGACGTCAATGTATACCAGCTCTGGCGCTATTGTCACTTCCCTATAACCATAGAGCGATATCTTGATTTGCGCATCGAAATTCGTTGTGAGATTTTGCTTTTCCCACGTGATCTTTATTTCCTTGGGTTTTCTTTCTCGCACCGCTCCGTCGTGGAACCGTATGCGTTCGGTAGCTGTGGCCGGCGTCTCTGGAAGAAGTGTGTCATAAAACGGGAATCTACGTCATTAATCTTCTGTGCGTACGACAATTAATAGTGCAGTCGATTTTAGCGTCAAACGGACATAATTTAACTCGATGTTATTTTAATTAACTATTAAAATAGCTTAAATATGTTACGAGTTTTGGCCTAAATGTTATCAAATGTAGTATTCAAGAAGTATATGCAGTGCATTCCAGAAATACCAGAATTTCGATAAGTTTCAAAATATATTCAAATTATCCTGATTTTGTATTTGATTTACAACAATGAATTTCTCGTTTTATGTTCCATTTTTACCTTTTGTAATTGAATTTGTCGAAAGAATTTTCGATTCGAGATTCTATAATATTATCTATACACGTTCGCAAAACTTTAAACAATTAATAAAAAAAAAAAATCTACAAGTTTTTTGTGGGTCGTTTCGATGAGGGAAAAAAAATTCTATTTATTTTTGATGTCTTCATTCAGCTATATACGTACCCACAAAGTATTTTCCTTTCCAGTTGTACTTCTCGTCGCCAATCGCCACGTCGAATATCACATAACCTTCGGCCATCAAAAACGGTTGTATGCAAACGGCACGGTTCCTGTTCACCACGGTACCAACGACTTCTTCCGTGTCAAATCTACGCGCGAAGAAGACACAGTATTATTACTATCGGCAGTTAACCGATTCAATATCATGTCGTATTGTTATAGCGGGTGCGTGTCGCCGTATGAAGAACGTTACTCACTTGCATCGGACTTTATCGCCAGGTTCGAAGCACGGTCCAGTGATGTTGACGACGGTGCCGCCCAACATGTTGCCACTTTCGGGTGCGAAGACCAACGGCAAATTCGTACCGGCTATAAAAGTTCACATGGATAACGTAAACGTTAACGTCATAACGATAGATCGCAACATTAATTCTGGGCAAGTTAATGAAGTTTTTCATCTCGTCAAGTTAAATAAATTTGGGGATAAAGTTTAATAATGTAAAACATACGTTCTTTTCTTTTTTGATTAACTGGTAAAAGTTGTAAGTTAAAAGAAAAAAAAAATTATATACGAGTATCTTTTTAATAAAGCTACGTTTCTGTATGTTATCAAGACTATTCAAATCCAGACGTAGAACATTAAACATTTTCAAAATTATAATTCCGATCGTTTATAAAACACAATAATTTTTTATAGTAAATATATTTTTATATTTTTAATTTCTGAAATATAAATTAAGAAAACAATTTATTTCTCGTTAATATAAAGTTATAGAGCGTATTAGTAGTCGTATATTATGGAAAACAATTTAATTCGTTAAGTTTAAAAAATGATTTGAAAAAAAAAATTTGGATGGTAGGTCATTTAAAAATCGAAGTTAATCTTATTTATCAAGTTGAAAATAAGTTGCAACTTAATCTTAACTATTTAACTCATTTAAGCTTAGCTTTGGAAATCGTATTTCTTTACTAGTGGACAATGATCGACCGTTTTACTTACCGATGTCCTTGTTGCACGTTCCCAACATTATGTTCTCGTCGATTCGGAAAATATGCCGACCTGGGAAATTGTTGGCCCAACCACGACCCACCAGGTCTCTGATGGTCGATCTTTGGGAATATGGATAGTACTCGAAACTTCGAGTCCCGTTTCCCGCGTTGAATCCCACCTACGGCACATCAAAGCACTCGTATTATAGTTCTGTTTACGTACATTTCGGAAAACACTAAATTATGTATGGACTGTCAGACTCACGAATGCCGGCACTCCTCCTTCTCCCCCGGTCGTGTCACCGCCGGCTTCCGTATGACTGGTCCATTGCATGTCTACATAATTGAAAATGGCGTAAGTGAAAACTTCGTCGGTAGCCAAGATTAATTGAAACGTATTTGTCTGGAAAGGTCAGCAAATAATATCTATTATTACCGATGGTGTTGCATCGACCGATGTGAAATATTCATAACATATTTCGGCCGAAAGAATTAGGGTTGTTCGCAAAGAAGTTTATAGTACGTTAAGAAATGATTGCTCGAAGCATGTCGAAAGAAAATCTTAGTCCAAACCCCGTCCCTTGCATAGAAGTGTCGATTCGCGCGTCAGTTAGATTTTCGATAAAAAATTACAATAATTACAATAATTAATATTGTTACGATTAGATCGTCTCTGTACCGTGTAAAGTGAGTTGTCAATTCCACCCGCGAACGACATATTTTTCCACGTGATGATAGCTGAATGTTTGGGCACGAACGAGTCCGCACCAACTACGCCTTCTCGGATATCCCACATGAGCCGTTCCCTCATTTCCACTCCGAATTGATCAGTTCGAGCTTGTAAATCCCTCTCCAGGCGGAAGTACACGCCGGGTTTACGCCTGTCGACATCGTCGGCTCTGAGCGAGCCGATTCGACATTTGCTGTAGAATATACCGATGAAGGACGGATCGTTCTTTTTGGGCCACTCCTTGATTGGGAACGACAACGGATATCTATAGTGTTTCGGCGGGTCGCTGAATTCCAAATAACCGTTCATTGACACCCTAGTGTAATTGAATCGGAAACCGAAGAACGGCAATTGGAAATTAAAATTCTTATGGACTTGGGGCATAGACCCGTGGATGTCGGTTTGATAGTCTCCTTGATCATTGTCGCCACCTTTATCGAAATACCAATACATAAACTCTTGTCGAATTTCTGCTAATCTGTCCTCGGTTAGGACGTACGGAGCTGCACCGGCTTGTAATCTTAACGTAGGAGGTGCATATCTAGATGCAAAATTATCTGAAAGAAAGAACGAATAATCAAGTATTGAATATATGTAGTTCAATTTGAATATTAATATTTAAAATAATAATAATATGTTTAGTTTTATTGTTCACGCCAAGTTAAATGCTAAAATAAAGCATGGATGCAGTTATTAAATTGTTACTCTTATTGACCTTTTGGGTACGTAGCCAATAAACAAATGATCAAACCAATGAAATAATTAGCATAAAATCGGTCCAATGGCTATTTATACTTAAATCTAAAAAAGTTTTTTATATATATATATATATATATTTAAAGCTTATATTATTGTATTCAATTATTTTTTCATGATTATGCTTTATTATACTTTTATAATTAGTGTGGTAGAACTTCAAAATCTCTCATAGTACAAATATTTCATAAATATCGAAAGCATTTAAAATGTGGGTAATGTTATTTGTGTTATTACGTATTATGTATTCTACGTTAATAGTAATCGCCTTTCATAATTTTCGTTAGTTTTTGGAAATGATTAAGCGTATATTTAAACAGTACTTGAACGATTTGAATCATAAATTCTTTGATAGTGTCATGATGACTAAAACGGTTTAAATAAAATGTAAATAGTCGAGTGCAGTGAATGTACAATAATATCTTGGTGTAATACATATAACACGTTTTTCGTTATTTGTCATCGTTTGTTAACAGGAAACGGTTCGTCAAAGCGATAAATCCTTTATTTATCTTTATAGTTATTCTCATGGAATGTATTATAGTGTATGGTACTTGGTAGTGTTACGACATTTTAAATGATATTTAGTAGAGATAATCGTACATACAATGACACATGCAATGCAATAGTTTAAAACGTTTATACAGATATACGATAAAATAATAAATTAGTATTAACTTGAATGTTATTATTATATTTAATATTTAGTAGAAAATAAAAAATTCTAAAGCAAACAAAAACGTAATCTAATAGACATAATTTTCGACATCTATTGAGTACGTTTATAACTCATATGCGGGGGCCATAAAAATAATGCCTATCATGACTGTAAAAATATTGATCGTAGTTGTAACAATTATACTTAGGAATTTAAGATTTTGACTTTGATACTCTCAAGTATTAAAATGGTATTTTATTTATTTTTAAGTAATGGCTTATTCGATTTGAACAAATGAGTCTATATTAGAATTTATTTTATAAAGATTCCATGTATCGTTAAAAATAACCCAAAAGAGCTTTCACATTGGTCATGTGTGTATATTGATACTTGCATCCTTATGAATAATTTTGGATTTTACTATCGCAAAATCTGGATCTTAACAAATCGGAATTCAATAAGTTGCGACGGAAAAGTCAATTTAAATAGAAAATAACTAAACGATTCGTTGGTAAAAAAAAGTTTCAAGAATGTTTTTTTTTTGAAAATAACAATCCACCCGTACCGTTTGTCGTGAACGGGATTTAATTTTCAACGAGAACATCAACGACGTACGATAACGAAAACCGTTGTTGTACGCTTACTATAATTCTGTCTGCGTTGCGTTCCGAACGGGTCTTGTTGATTTCGGTTTTGATTGAAGTTCGCGTTTTGCTGCTGTTGCTTACGCTGTTGTTGCTGCTGCTGCTGTTGCTGCAGCCGCTGCTGTTGCTGCTGCTGCTGCTGCTGCCGTTGGTTGTCCAGCGGGTTGGTGTACGGGGACCGGCCGTACTGCTGTTCGATAAAGTCCTGCGGCCGTTGCTGCACCTGTTGCCAATACGATTGGCCGGTTTGCTCGTAAGGGTTGTCGTTGAAATCGTACTGACCCGTTGCCGGGCGCGCGTACGACAGCGCCAAAATGGCGGCCAGAAAACGGTGGCCAACGCCGAGCGAACCCATCGTGCGAATGCGAGGCCGCGGCGTGCAGGCGTTCGTGTGGCTGACAAGAGACGCCGTCTTCGGGTTGTCCTCAGATTAGATTCGACGCGAACAAACATGGGTGTATTCGGCGGCGCGCCCGCCTCGCGGTTTCTCGAGTGCTCGTCGTTTAATCTAATCGCGGCGGATTGGCGTTTTTTTCTACCGTTTATGTCGATTATTCTCACCGGTCCGGGCCGGGTCCGTGACGCGGAACACGGGTCGACTCGGATTAGACGTACACACTCGTTCGGGCCCCGTCCGAGCTTGCAGTTTTATTTTATTCACGTCGGCCATCGGCCGCTATCGGAAAGAAAACCCACGTGTTTGTCCGTCTTGTTCAAGTGCGAACATTTTAAACCGAATTCAATATTATTTTATAACATCGATTCGATTATAAAATCAATACTGAAAGCGAATAAGTTTTTAAGTATGTCCCGGATAAGTGAGAACGGTTGTATTTAAAACTCAATGGATAATCGTTTTCTTGTACACGGACGGATTCCCGCACGTCCAGGGGCAGTGGGAATGCACCTTTATTGCTCGCGGCGACGAAACCTTTGGTCGAACGCGGTCGTTATCGCTTGACATTTCATTTAATGATAATTATCAGTCGTTGTCTTCAGCAACAGCTACGATCCGTACGTAAGAACGTTGTTGTAAATATAACGTCAACATTGGCTGCGGTAGTTGTTAACATAAAAGGCGAATACTCCATTTTGACGTCCTCCCAGAAATCGCGTTCGAACCGAGACACCCTTCGATTCCCTCCCCTGCTTGTTGTGTCCCTTGCGCAACTAAGGCCAACGTTCTGGGGCAGTTGTAGTCCGTAACAATATTAGAAATAAAATGTATTGTCATACTGTAATATGCCAAATAAATAAATGTATTTTTTTTTTTTTTACTAATGTATGCTTTACTAACATTAACAATTCAAGCATTATTAACAGAATATTGTATTAATAATAACGTATTATAAAAAAAAAAAAATGTACGGTAGATTTTAAAAATTTAAAAAAAAAAATTGTGAAAAATTGTGGGGAGAGGTGCTTGGTTTTGATAAAAGTATACTATATTTAACGTGTAATTGTGCCCGTCCGTATTTTCCGGGTTTTAAGCATTGTGTTTCACTATCGTTCAGCATAACTAAAGACGCACCGTTATGTGTATGCAAAACAGTTAAACTGTAATGTGATAATTTGTATTTGTCTACAGAATAGAGATGACAATAAAAATGCAATAAGATGGATCCACCGGAGAGTATTGCCGCATTGAGCGTGATGTACAATAGCAGGAGTAGGTATTTAAATAATAAACCATGACTGTTTACGTAAACTTTCTAGATTGTTCAACAAAATACATTTGATACGGGGGCGACTTACTTGTTATCGGTGTTTAATTCAGTTTTTTAGATGTTGAGAGATCACAAAAACGACCGCCGTGATTGATATATATTTGTCGGTAATTCCGGATGTGTCAGACGATTTATCATACTTATTATTACTTATTAGTAAGATAATAAGTTATTTCTATCAATAATTTTCATTTTATTAAATAATGTGGAATATTGATGTTATTTATTGATATTATAGGTAACAATTAGTCACGTCACTGTAGTTTTGCCTATTTAATATTCATTCATATAGTTCATGATATGGTATGAACAGTACATTATTTATTTCTATAAGACATAACTACTATAACAAAAAAAAACAGGCAAAAATCCTAGGTGGGGTGATACTTCAAGGTTAGATTGTCTATGGTGACGGGTATTTTAAACTTAAGATCATTATACTTTTAAAAAAACGATATTTAGTGAAAGAGATCGATCGCCGTATTTGGTATTTTAGACTTGAAATTAACGTGCGCTCAACTAACGATTGTGAGTGAAGCCGAGTGGATCAGTTTATAATTCTAAAGATGGTTGATATAGAAGTAGTATCTAATTTCTTAATAACATAGATTAGATTTTTTTATTTTATTTTACAAAAAAAAAAGTTATTTAGGTATCTACATAAGTAAATTACATTAAAATATTGTTTATGACAGGACAATAAATGTAAAAAATATTTAAATTGAGTTGCATACTTGCATAATCTGCTACGATGATAGTTTATTGTTGTTTACAACAAAAAATAAGTGTTTATATCGAAAATAAAATTAATAATAATAAAAATAATATGACTGTCAATGACTTCATGATAATTTTTTTAGTTTCCCTGAAGTATTCATATAAACCATTGTTATTTATCATACAGTGGAATTATTATAACGTTAGGAAAAATAGATGTTTTATAATACAAATATACATAAAAATAGAGATAGTGACAACAATAGTAATACTATTTACAGTATTACAAAATTACACAGCAGTGCCCTAGCGAATGTAATATATTAGTAGTATAAAAAATTAATGAAATAATATTAATCAGTAATAAAATTAGTTGGATATTAAAAATTATATTGTTAAATTAAGGTTGGGCGGTCGTTTTCGCTTGAGTCGGCGTATTTTGGGTGTGTCACCTAGGCTGTAAAATTACACAATGCTAGTAGAGCTCAAGTGTGGGAAAACGTTGTCAGCTTATACATTGATGTACCTAATTATTGTAAATCTCTAGAAGTCTTTGTGGAATGCATTATTACGAACAAACCATGAAGCATTGAATATTGGGCTGTAGAATTTTTAATTAAAATTGTTTGTATTTTGTTCATTGGAATGGATTGTGCCATAGTAAAGGGAACTTCATTTTTTCAAATTGAACATTTTTGTGCGTCATTATTTTAAATTATATTTCATTATCTTATCTCTTCATTTCCCCTATGAATCCGGAACTAAAAGAGATAGTTCAAAGCTAAATTTTGATTCAATTTTCAAAATCTTCAAATTTCTCTGCATTAGTGACGGGTATTAATTTTGATTAACTCTGTTCTACGATTAAAAATTGTAAATAACCAAATTATAAACAATTATGATGAGAATTCGGGTCTCGAGGCACAAACTTATAAAACATTTTCATAAATATTGTCAAAAACCGAAGTCGTTAAAAGATAAAAATGATTTTGTCACTCCAAATCGATATTTTAATGCTATCTTGTCGATGACGCGAACGATGAAAACGCGAATACGATGATGAAAAAAAAAGTTCAATAATCAGGAGCTGATAAATACTACTACAAATACATTTACAAAAGTTATGTTGCCATCGAATACATTCACGGAAAGTGTAAATAGTTTTCTTAGTAAGACAGAGAGTCATCAATCGGAAAATCCACTGCACCGATTCTTTGTCGATCTCGAGCACGAATCTCAAGTAATACAGATACCTTTAAAGTCACATGGCTACTTAACACTAAAATTAAAATCGAAGAACTACATAAAAATAATCAAATGCGTTGTATGTCTGACCTAACCGATTCTAACGCGAAGCTACTGCTCCAGTGCTGTCCGTCGCGTCGTACGCGGAGAAAAATCGTCCTTGTGTATCGCAACGTGTTAATAATCTCGTGAAATCCCTTCGAAATTACGTGACATTTGTAACGATGGCAGACAAACTCGATTGGTTAGGTTATAATATGTTGAAGTATTTCGATTGCCCACAATGGAATATTACTTTACGGACAGTGCTAAAATATAGCGAAAAACATAACTCGTATCATTCCGGTCCCACACTAATCACAAGTATACATGATTAATTCATTATTAAATTAATCGTTGACACACGCGTGTAGCGTTGGACTAGACACTTGCTATAATTATAGTATGCACTCGCGATGATATTCGTAGTTGATTGCTCAAAAGGCGGTAAATTGTTCAAAGTGAGTCAAACTGCACTTGCATATAATCGGAATAATTCCCACAATACTCGGGAATTATCGAGAACGATCGAGAATAATCAGATAGTAAACAAATCGATTGGTAATCGATAAGCTTTATGAATAATCTTAGTAGCTTTTACTTGGCTCTACTTCCGATTAGTGTGGGAGGACACTTTGAGGATCGTGCAGTAAATTATTTTGGATTATTGTATATTTTTATTCGTTTTATCTAGAAAATTCTTAAATTCAAGTTTTCGATTGAATGGTATTCATTGAAGTATATTTGGATGGACAATATTTTTTGTTTTTCATTCTTGTGCGTACACAAATAAATCCAGAAGGTATTCCAATGCGTGAGCAGATCACATACAGTGTTTTATGTGAGGAGCATAAATCAAAAAAAAAAAAAAAAAAACGGTGAGTGTCGCTCTTAGAAATTATTTTCTGTAAAATAGACACGTTCGCCATTTTCTAGGTGCACATTGAGGTGTGTGACAGTGGAGTTACTTTCCGTTTTTTTTGGTTATCATAGCAACAACAAAACAACAATTGCTCATTCAGGGCGTATCAGGTTTTGTACTGATGCTTCCTTTTCCTTTTTTCGTGACAAAAGGTGCCCGATATTTGTATATTTTTATCAGATTTTATAAAAATCGGTCAAGTTGTTTTCCAGATTTTTGTGGACAAACAAACAAACGCTGTATTTTTATAAAAAAAGTAAAAAATTCTTAATAGAATAAACTAAAAATATGTTAAAAAAAAAAAAAAAAAAATGATCTGTCTTTTTCTATCGGCGGAGCGTATAAATATAGTTGACCTAGGGCTTTGTTTGTAAACACGGTTCTGCTTTCACCATCTTGGGGTTGAACGTGATGCGCTGCTTGTTGTGGTGTTGCGCACACGTCGCGGTGCAGGATGCCCCAGGATCTCTGCTTTACTGCAACATTTCGCCGGGATTATCGCGGTCGCCCTCTCGCAGTCTTTCGCGGTTAGTGAAGATATAACAGATGTAAAGATGGCGGTAACGGTATAAAGTTTACAGAGTAGCGTCAACAGTGTAGACGGTGCCGACATAGAATAGACTATTCTATAATCAATGTTACCGATCTGCTATCGAGCGAACACACTGCAGCACAACAGTAGATAGCGTTGTCTGTTGTCAGCCACAGGTAAAAAAATTTCAAAACCAACGAGTTCGTGATGCACATAGTAAACGATAATTATAAAGGAA